TATGCCTAGTTATGCACACTCTTCTCTCCACCTTATAAATGCCTTTTCTTCCTAATGATTTTATTTTATTTGCCTCTGAAGTTTGTAAGTTCTGATTTTTTCCTCTCCTTCCTTTCTGTTCTCTCTGCTATCATTCCATACCAAGTCTCCTCCCTTTCTTTTTTATACAATATATGCACGTCAGTTTATATTTCTTTGACCAATATACTCATCTTGTCTTTCTCTTATACAGAAAAAGACAAGCTTCTTTTTCTGGCTTCCCAATGTTTTCCCATATATTAGTAAGTCCATATTCTCATGATTAGCATAGGGCAATCTCCATATTTGGCTCCTACCAAGCCTTTTTGTTGAGTAGTATCTTCTGTAGTTCTGACACTTTCCTATTGCTTCCATGTTGCTCACCTCATTTCCACCAACTGGAATTTTCTAGCCTTCTGGCTACTATTTGCTTTTGTTTAACATCCTTCTGTTAAACAAAAGTCTGCTGTTAACTTCTCTATCTCATAGTGGGCTATTTCATTTTGAGTACTGAAAATATTCATGACTGGTATCATTCATTTTCTATTTACTTATACAGCCCTCTTGTTATTTTCTACTCTGTTATCTTTTAAAATTCTGTGGACAATTAAGTTGTCTAACTGCATTAGGACAAAAGCCCTGGTCTCAAATCTCTGACTCCTTTGCTCAGATTATAGGCACATATTAAGAAGGTTTTAATGTTGTCAGTTTTTCTTGAATTGGTAGAAATCCAGGAAACTGGGGACATTTGAAGATGATTTGGGGCATTTGGTGATTTTTAGGTTGATCCAAATTATACTGGTTCTCTCAGTGATACTGGTCTCACCTTAGAACAGTTAATTTTCTGGATTGACTCCAATTTCTGGAATGTGAGGTAGAGTTGTTCATATGTTATGCTGGGGTAGGCCCTTCATTTATGCAGTGATTCTCTAAGTGTCAATCTAATCTCTTTCCCCTCCTCTCCCCTCCTTGTTTTAAAAAATGGAGTCTTTTGGGACTTTGTCCCCATAACATTTATTTTTATTGTAAGATTTTATATTATTACTAGAGGCCCGGTGCACGAAATTCGTGCACTGGGAGGGTGTGTGTGTGTGTGTGTGTAATCTGGGACCCCTTGGGGGATGTCTGACTGCTTGTTTAGGCCTGATCCCACAGGGAGTCAGACATCCCTCTCACAATCCAGGACTGCTGGCTCCTAACCACTCATCTGCCTGCCTGCCTGATTTCCCCTAACTGTTTCTGCCTGGAGACTTATCCCCCCCTAACCACTCCCCTGCCAGCCTGATCGACGCCTAACTGCTCCCCTGCTGGCCCGATCGCCCCTAACTGCCCTCCCCTGCCGGCCCAATTGCCCCCAACTGCCCTCTCCTGTCAGCCCGGTCGCCCCCAACAGCCCTCCCCTGCAGGCCCGGTCACCCCCAACTGCCCTCCCCTGCCGGCCCGGTCACCCCCAACTGCCCTCCCCTGCAGGCCCGGTCTCCCCCAACTGCCCTCCCCTGCTGGCTTGATCACTCCTAACTGCCCTCCCCTGCATTTTCCTAACCATCTGAAAATATAAAAACCATTCTTAGCTACTGGTGCAGGTTGAATTTGACTCAAGAGCAGGAGTTTGTCCTAATACTAAATGGCTCAAGAGCGGGAGTTAACTCTAATATGAGATGACCACTAACTGCTTTTTGTTTGTTTGTTTGTTTTTTAAAAAATATATTTTATTGATTTTTTTAAAGAAAGGAAGGGAGAGGGTTAGAGAGTTAGAAACATGGATGAGAGAGAAACATCAATCAGCTGCCTCCTGCACACCCCCTCCTGGGGATGTGCCCTCAACCAAGGTACATGCCCTTGACCGGAATCGAACCTGGGACCTTTCAGTCCACAGGCCGACATTCTATCCACTGAGCCAAACCGGTTAGGGCAAGATTTTATATTATTAGCTTTTTCACATATTCTCTTGTTGGAGATCATGTGATATGGTCTTCATATAATAAAACTAGTGGTATATATTTTTTAAAAACTGTATTCACTGTATTAGAAAAACAAGGTAGTGGGGTTTTTTTTTTTTTGTAACTTTATTGAATATTTAAACTTTATTTTTATTTTTGACACTATTACAAAAGTCCCCATTCCACCCCCTCTTTGCTCACCTCTACCCAGCCCCCACTACTCCTTCCCTCTGCCCATCACCACATTGTTACTTGCTTTTTGCCCAGTTCTAGCACTACCTTCCCTCTGGCTGTCACTGCACTCTTGTCTGTGTCTATGTGTCATGCATATATGTCTATTTATGTGTAGGTTTTGTGTAGACAATTCATTTCTCTTAGATACATACCTAGAAGTAGAATTGGTGGGTCAAATGGTAACTCTATTTAACTTTTTGAGGAACTTCCAGATGTTTTCCAAAGTGGCTAAACCATTTTACATTCCTACCAGCAATGCATGAGGGTTCTAGTTTCTTCATGTCCTTGCCAACACATCTGTCTTTCTGTTTCTTTTTGATGTTATTGTAAGTGGAATTGTGGGTGTGAAATAGTATTTTATTGTGGTTTTGATGTGCTTTTCACTGATGACTAATGTTGTCAAGCATCTTTTTATGTGCTTATTGGCTATTTACATAGCTTCTTTGGAGAAATGTCTGTTTACATCTTTTGCCCATTTAAAAATTCAGATATTTTTTCATTTTAAAGTTGTAGAATTTTTTTATATATATATCCTGGATACAAATATCTTATGAGATAAACGATTTGGAGTTTTTCCCCACCTTTTTTTAGGGTGTACTTTGAAACATGAAGTTAATGTTGATGATCCAGTTTACTTAATTTTTTCCTTTGTTGCTTGTGCTTTTGGTGCCATGTAACATTTGCTCTTCATTTTCTTTGAAGGATTTTATAGTTTTAGCTCTTTCATTTAGGTCTTTGATCTCTTTGATTTAATTTTTGTCTATGGTGTGAGATAGTCTAACTTCATTCTCTTGCATATGGATATGTAATTGTCCCAGCACCATTTATGTTGATAGTTTCTTTATTGCATTGTTGTGGCATCCTGTTGAATTGACCATAAATGGGAGGCCTCTGTCTGGACTCTCAGTTCTATTGCATTGATGTATCTGTTTACCCTTAGCGGTATGTCTGTATCAAACTGTCTTGATTACTGTAGTTATGTATAGTAAGTTATAAAATCTAGAAGTGTGTTAGCCTTACTGTTTTGTTTCTCTTCTCAAGATTGTTTTGCCTATTCTGAATCCCTTGCATTTCCATATGAATTTTAGGATTAGTTTGCCAATTTCTGCAAATAAAAAAGGCTGGTAGGATTTGATAAGGGATTGTTTTGATTCAGATCAATTTGGGGACTATTACATCCTAAAGATATTAAGCCTTCTTGTCTATGTACATGGCTGTCCTTCCATGCTGGAGGTTAAAGCCAACAGCAGTTAGCATATTAATGCAAAAAGAAAACATTGTAAGGCCAATGGACTTTGATATTCAGCAGGGCTGAAAATCAGCATAATATTGCCCTGTTGTGGGCTCAGTGGCTCAAGGCAATTTCCTTACCTGATAATCCTTACATTGTTTACCAAACTCTACTTTTGATCTGCCTGTATGCCTTGCTGAAGGGCAAATGTATATTCAAGTAAATAAATAGTGGACCAGGCCAGAAGTTGTCTCTCTCTTCGAGAAAGAGGCTCCACCTGGCCCCAAATGCCTTCTAAATTCATATTTCTTGTATAGCATATTCATTTGTGCATCGGCCCCTCCTTCGGACCCTGAACCTAGCCTTGAAAGTCATGGCACTTCCATTTGCTTAGGTCTTTTTTTAATCCTCACCTTAGGATATATTTTTATCGATTTTTAGAGAGAGGAAGGGACAGAGAGAGAGAAGAACATTGATGTGAGAGAGAAACATCAATCCATTGCCTCCCTTACTCGCCACAACCAGGGATTAAACCCGCAACCTAGGTATGTACCCTGACCAGGAATTGAACCCACAATTTTTTGGTGAATGGGACACTCCAACTAACTAAGCCATCCACCAAGGCAGGTCTTTAATTTTTTCAACATGCTTTGTAGTTCTCAGTGTACAGGTTTTATACTTCTTTTGTTAAATTTATTCATAAATATTCTTTTTGCTGTTTTTATTAAGTGGAATTGTTTTCTTAATTTGATTTTTGGATTTTTCATTGCTAGTGTGTAGAAATAAAATTGAGTTTTGTTTGATCTTATATCTTACAGCCTTGTTGAACTTATCAGTTTTAATAGTTTTTTAGTGGAGTCCTGATAATTTTTTTGTATATAAGATCATTTCATCTTCAAATAGAGGTAGATAACTTTACTTCTTCCTTTCCAATATAGATTCTCTTTACTTTTCTTTTTTTGCCTAGACTCCTGTCCAGAATATCTGGTATAATGTTGAATAGAAGTGGTGAGAGTGAACATTGTTGTACTGTATGTATTGTTCCTGATCTTAGGGGAAAGCATTCTGTCTTTCACTATTAATTATGCTGCTAGTGCTCCAGTTTTTGTAGGTATCCTTTATTGTATTAGGAAAGTTCCCTTCTATTTTTACTTTGTTGAATGGTTTGTTTTTTCATGAAAGGATGTTGGATTTTTGTCAAATTCTTTTTCTGTGTTGAGATGATCATGGTGTTTTGTTTTTGGTTTTTGTTCCTTTATTAACATGGTGAATTACATTGATATTAAACCAAACTTGCTTTCTGGGATCCCTCTTTTTCATGGTATATAATCCTTTGTTGCAATTGGTTTGCTAGTATTTCCTTGAGGATTTTTGGTGACAATATTCATAAGGTATATTGGTCTGTAGTTTTCTTTCCTTATGATGCATTTGTTTTGTTCTGTAATCACAGTAGTATTGCTATCATATAATGAGTTGGGAAGCATTCTTTCCCTTTCTAGTTCATGGAACAGTTTATGAAGGATTGATATTAAATCTTCAAGACTAAAGGTATTTTAATTTTTGTTTTTATCTTTTAGGATTCTCCTTTTACAAATGCAGGAATGGGATCTAATCTAAATCTCCTGGGTGAAATTGAATGTGATGCCAGCATAATGGATGGAAAATCCTTAAATTTTGGAGCTGTTGGAGCATTGAGTGGTATGTGGACACTGTAACACACTATCTTTGTTCTTTATAAAACTATGAATATTACCATTCCATGGCATCTAAAGACCTAGTCCAGTTTTTTCCACCGTTCTTAATTGGAATAATGTTAAAAACAAACTTAAAAAAATTTTTTTACTAAATTTAAAACATGAAATTTTAGCTGTATATAGTCTTTGTTAGAGTTTGATCATTCTCCATCCCCTCAAGAGATTATAGACATTTCGAATGTGTTAGCATATTCTCTTACTTTTATAATTATTTGAAATAATAATTTTATAATTACTTGAAATAATGTATTTTTGTTGTTAACAAACTCAAATGACATACAAGAATACCTCAGAAATATTGTGGGTTCTGTTCCAGACCACCTCTATAAAGTGAATATCCCAAAAAAGTATCACATGAAGTTTTTGTGTATATTAGAGTTAAAAAAAAAAAATAGGCTCCCTTGGAATTTCTATACACACAATTATATCACCTGTGAATCATGGCAGGTTTGCTTTTTTGTTTCCAACGTTTAAATGTTTATTTATTTTTTTCTTGCATTATTATACTGCTATGACATCCAGGGCAATGTTGAATATAAGTGGTAATAGTGTACATCCTTGCTTTTTTCCTGATTTTAGAGCAAGAGCATTAAATATTTCACCATTTTGTATGCTGCTAGTTGTAGGATTTTCATAGATGCTCTTTATCATATTGAGAAAGTTCCCTTCTAATCTTAGTTTGCTGATAGTTATTATAAATGGGTATTGAATATCATTAAGTGCTTTTCTGCATCTACTGAGATATGAATTTTCTTCTTTATTTTGTTAAGGGAAACTTATGTTCCCTGCTTGGCATAAAATCTTCTTGGTCATAAGTTTTTATTTTTTATATTTTGCTGATGTTCAAGATTTTTGACATTTATGTCCGCATAATAGGCTTTAATTTTTCTTTCTTATAATATTCTTTTCAGGTTTTGGAATCATGGTATGGCTGGCCTCATAAAATGAGCTAAGGATTTTTTTTTCTCTCTGATCTTTGAAAGAGTTTGTGTATGATTGGAATGATTTCTTTTTAATTGTTTGGAGAAATTCATTAGTTATTCTAAATTAGTAGTAGAGTTTTTGTGGGAAGTTTTTAAAAAAGGGATCCAATTTCTTTAACAGTTATAAGACTATATTTTCTTTTTCTCCTGTGTGTTTTTTCAAGGAATTTGTCTTATATAAGTGTTCAAATTTCTTAGCCTAAAGACTTTTTTTGTTAGCTTTCATTATTTATTTCTAGTCTTTAATTTCACTGTGGTCCTAAAACATACTCTGTAAGATTCCAAGCCCTTAAAGCCTTTTGAGACTTGCTTTATGGCCCAGATTATGATGTGTTTTTGATAAATGGTCCATGTGAACTTGAAAAGAGTATGTATCTTATAGTTGTTGGGTGCATGTTCTACTTGTCAGGTCTATTTGATTATTTATTTATTCCAATATTCTATATTCTTTCTGATTTGTGTGATAAGAAATGGTATTTCAATTAGGTTTTATTTTCTTTTATTGTAAAATTTTATTGGTATTTAATAAAGTTTCACATGTTTAAAGGCCATTAACATTTTTCTGTGAACTGTTTATACCTCTTGTGTGGCTTGCCTTTTAAAACTCTATAATGTGCTTTATGATATTGGAATTTAAAATTTTTATTTGTCAAACTTATTTCTCTGTTGTGGATTTTGTATTTTGCATTTGTAAGGTTTCTCTCTCATAATTATGAGTTTGGTCACCTATATTTTCTTCTAATATGTGCATAATATATTTTTATTTAAGTCTTTTTTGTTTTTATTTGTTTGTTTTAAAATTTCAACCATTAATGGCATTTTATTTAGGACAGTGATGGCGAACCTTTTGAGCTCGGCGTGTCAGCATTTTGAAAAACCCTAACTTAACTCTGGTGCCGTGTCACATATAGAAATTTTTTTATATTTGCAACCATAGTAAAACAAAGACTTATATTTTTGATATTTATTTTATATATTTAAATGCCATTTAACAAAGAAAAATCAATAAAAAAAATGAGTTCGCGTGTCACCTCTGACACGCGTGTCATAGGTTCGCCATCACTGATTTAGGAAGTTTCTATGTATCACACAGGTATTAACTTCCTCTCATAACCCCCCTAAAAATACAGAAAGATTAAAAAACAGGAAAAGCCCTTAACATATAAAATTTCAGTTTCTCTAAAGTCTTAGGTTAAAAAAGAAAAAGGTAGTGGCACTTCTCCTTTATGAGAAGAATTCAGTCTTTTCTTAGGCTCACTACAGATTTCTACTCCTTCCTGGAAAAAAAATGGTCAACGCTTCTGCTTCCTTTTAGTAAATTCATTTCTTGATTATTACACATTAGCATTCCCCACTTGACACCTTCTTAGACACTTGATTGTTGGATGCATTTCTCATTTGGCAAACATCCAGTGTGGCTTTGCGTGGGATGTCTAAGTGTCAGGAACAGCAGTGTTGATGTTCTGCTTTTGAGGGGGAAATATATATAGCGACGCAGACATTCCCAGGAAGAACAAATGTAGGCGACTGAAAAGGGTGTGCACAGAGTGCAGAGGGCTGACAGGCACTGCGTGGTTTGAATTCTGTGGCCGTCAGCCACCGAAGACTGTAGTGCAGGCCAGAATATAAATCTTCGCAGAAAGAAGTTTGGTTGGACACTGAAATGGCAGAGCTGGCTTCATGTTGTTCCAAGGGTATCCAACAGATGCACACAAAAAGCAGTATGGGTCGTCTGCAGTGAGCAGTAGTCTGTGTGTGATCATGTATGGGCAGTTCTGGAAATGTTCTGTTAACGAGGCTCAGGGAGAAGGGACAAGAAGCATCCTATTAAAATACACTTCCACCTCTAACCTAAGCTCCCAGGCCTCCTTGGCTCTGTGATTCACAAGGCCAAAATTAAGTTCAAAGTGTGTCACCTAGGTCACCTGCAAACTGGTTCACTGGGCCATTTCAGAAGACCTGGCGAGCAGCAAGACTACCCAGAAGGTTATGCCTTGATGATCTTCACATCCTCCACAGGGCGGTCCTGGGAGTTTGTTTCCACCATTCCTACTCGATTCACCATTCCTATACCCTGGCACACGCGGCCAAAAATGGTGTGTTTGCCATCAAGCCACTGGGTGGGAGCTAGGGTCACAAAGAACTGGCTGCCGTTGGTGTCTGGCCCTGCATTGGCCATTGCAAGAATTCCAGCCCCCGTGAATTTCAAGTCTGGATGAAACTCATCTTCAAACTGCTTGCCATAGATAGATGCACCACCTCGACCTGTTGGGTCACCTCCCTGGACCATGAAGGCTTTGATGATTCTGTGGAATTTGGTGCCATTGTAGTAACCTCGACGAGCCAACTCAGCAAAGTTCTTGCAGGTCTTTGGAGCATGCTTCCAGTACAGCTCCAGCACGATGGTCCCCATGCTGGTCTCCAAGTAGACTTTGGGCGGCTGCCAGGAGTCGGGGGTGGGGGTGGGGGGGAATAGCCGCCATAGGGAGCCGGCGGAATCTTTCCCCAGCGGTTGCCACTTCCTGCGTCGATTCGCCGGGGACCCGCTGGTGCAGGGCACACTTCCGGTCCCCGCGGTTCAACCCTGCGATGCCAAGGTTTGAAGAGTTGAGAAAAGGAAGAGGAAGGACACCACCTCCAAAGCCAGGAGACTGGGGTGCGAGGCCTATTTAACTCTTTTTCCTCCTGCACACTCCCTACTGGGGATGTGCCCACAACCAAGGTACATGCCCTTGACTGGAATCAAACCTGGGACCCTTGAGTCCGCAGGCAGACGCTCTATCCACTGAGCCAAACCGGTTAGGGCGAGGCCTATTTAACTCTTAAATGCATTATTTATTTTTCTGAAATGACCAACTAATTGTCCCTACATAATTTATTGAATAAGAACAATAATAATTACCATTTATTAGATAACTATTGCATAATGTGCATTTTTCTCCAGTAGTTTATATATATTAAGTCATTTAGTTCTCACAATAACATGAGGTCAGTACTTTTCCCCCTATTTTACAGATGAGAAAACTGAGACACAGGAGAAGTTTAGTAACTTGTCCATGGTTACTGTATCAGTCTGGGTTCAACTAGGAGACAGAAACTACCCAATAGTTTAAACAGGAGAGGTTTAATATAAAGAATTATTCAACAGTGATAAGAGAGTAACTCTATAAAGATGGAAAGAAAACTCAAAGTGTATTCTAGGACAGAAGAATACTGAAGTAGGGATTAACTTGGAAGGGAATTCAGACCTTGTTGTAGAAGGTATGGTTGCAGCCCACTGTCAGGCGGAGAAGTTGCTGGCCATTGTCTCTGTGAGAGCAGGAACAATCTTGGGTGGCTCAGGTGAGCTTGGCCTGGTGGGTGGACACACAGAGGTCAGGAAGCCATGGTAACTAAACCTCTGTTGCACAGGATAGCAATTGGGCTTTTGGCTCATTAGATAGTCAACCAGGTGGAGCATTTTGCCATGTGTGCCTGTTGGGCTGAGGAGAAGATGAGGGGATCAGTGACTTGAGCTGGGTGCAGCCCTATTCTTTCTGGGGCTGTCAGCTATGCTGCCATGGCCTGAATCAAGAGCTGGGGAAAACATGTGGCGGCCAAATGCTGGAGAAAACTGTACCCTGCAGTCACTTAGCACTGGAGACTACCATGTGGGCCAAATAGTGGAGAAAAACTGGTATTCTCCAGGAGCTGGACAGCAAGCCACCCTTTCCTCCTGCAGTGTGTCTCCAGTGCCCTCTACTGACAAAGTATATCAGTGTGCCAGCTGGCAAAGGAAACATTTAAAGGGCCCTTTTCCATTTTTACAGATCAGGCAACAAAGGATGAATTGGTAGCTGAGAACCAATAAATTGATAGCTGGTACAGTAGTAAAATAGTTGGATCTCCAGCACTCTATGTGTTCTTTCTGCCTCTCATATGTACCCTATCTGTGCCCTACTCATTTGAAAACTATCTGTATCACATATTAAATATCCAAATTAATGTGTGTCTGTGTCTGAAGTTTAGCTTTATTCTATTCAATTGATATACTTGTCTATTTTGTACTCAAACCACACTCTTTTCATTAGAATAGTTTTTAATGAAAATGATCTCATTGGGTGAAGTCTTAATTTTTCCCCCAAAGTTTTCTCTTTCTAATGAATTTAAGAGTCAGCTTGGCATACTTCAGAAATTTTTTGAAGTTTTGAATTAATAGAGAATTTGTAAGTTACTTTGGTAATTGTTAATGTCTACAATATTGAATCATTTATCCAGAAATATATTTAAGAGCTCAGAGACCTGAGCTTTTCCAATCTTTGGTATTTTATACATTTTTTTGTGTGACAGTTTTTTTTTTAATGTCAATATGGTGGTCTTAATTGTAATTTTTATAGCTGCTTTATATCCCACTGCTGATTTTTTATTTGCATTAGTAGTGTCCTGAGAGGCATCATAGCTCAGTGGTTTAGGGCATAGTCTCTGGCATTAGCTGCCTCTGTTAAAATCTCAGCACTAATCTTGGGCAGGTGAGTTAACCCTCTGTGAAAATGTTTCCTCAGTAATGAGATAGGGCTCATAGGGTATTTATGTGAAAGGTTGAAGGGATCAATTAAGTAATCTGATTACATTTAAGGGATTGGCACTAGGTCTGACACATATTAGATACTGAGTTACTGTCACTGTCTTCTGTCCTTATCATTGTCATATTTGTTGTTGTCATTGTCATCCTGATATAATGTTTTCACACTAATACTTACTGCCATCATTCTTCCCAGATAAGTGCCCATTTTCCACTTTTCACATTCTGTTTTCCTCCTGGAAACAATCTGAATCATACTTTAGGTTACAATCTGAACTATACTTTAGATCACAATCTTGTATATACTTGGTCTATTCTCCCTACCCTTACCTAGTTTGAAGGACTTCCTCTATATTCAGTCCTTTTTACAGGTGAGATTTAAAATATTTGGCCATTAATTTTCCTCCCCAATTAAATTTGAAGCTGTTTGTAATCATGCTTATTTTTAAAATAGTTTTATTGATTTTCAGAGAGAGAGGGAGAGAGAGGGAGAGAGAAAGAGAAACATCAATGTAAGGGCAGAAAATCAGTTGGCTGCACGCCCCCCACCAGTACCAAGCCCACAACCCGGACATGTGCCCAGATGGGAAATGGAACCGGCAACCTTTTGGTGCATGGGACTATGTCCAACCAACCAAGCCAAGCTGGCCAGGGCAATTCTTTAGAGGAAATATATGGTTTTGATTGTAGATGTCACATTTTCAGTTTATTTTTCTATTCTGTTATTCTGAAATCTATTAAAAAGGAACCTAATTTAAATATGTATTATTTCAAATTCAGTTTTTGCTGCTGTAGCATATGACAAAACACGAGAAGGTATGTTTTATATTTGTTCTTGAATTTACTAGGTATTCATGTATTTGTTGATTTGATCTGTATTGTTTATGATAATTAATGGCTTTTATTAATATATAAAAGGAGAGTTTTCCAAGATATTTAAAACTTGTGTTTATTGAAATTGCCACAAAACTGAGTGGGAAAGTTGAAGACTTTTTTACTTCATTTTCTGCTAATTTTATTTTATAGGAATCAAGAACCCAGTCTCAGTTGCGAACAGACTCTTGTGTGAAGGGCAGAAGGGCAAGCTCTCTGCTGGCCGGATTCCTCCCTGGTAACCACTTTGTTCTGCCTGACTTTCCCTGGGTCTTTGGTCTTTGGTGCATGCAGTGTTTGAAGGCTATTTTTATCCACAGAAGGTTGATGCTGTTGGTTGTACACCAGCGGTAGCTTGCCTTTGAGTTGAAGACTCACTTTGTTCTGTGATCTTTGTACACTTGATAGAACTCCGGATGGAATAGAATATTGTGGATTAAAGCAGAAAAGAGATCAGAGTTATTTTTGGTTTTGTAGTTGATTATAGGGATGTTTTTGCTGTTACTAAGTACTCAACTGGGGTCTTTTTATTATGAAACTTTAAAAGTGTCTTGCACATTCTAGTCCAGAGTCTAAACTAATTGTTAATCTTGAGGAGTTCTTAGAAAAAAAGTACTTAATTTTTCTCATCTGCAGAAACACATTGTGACACTAAGATTAGTCAGATCACATCTCTTCTCCAGCATTAACATACAATTCTCATTAAAAACACTTTGAACTTTTCAAATAGTTATAAGAGTAGAGAGAATGTTGTAAAGTGCCCTCATGAACCTGTCATCCAGCTCCAATAATTAACAATGCTTTTGCTCTTCATCTCTTTAATGCATATATTTTTTCTCCTAGCATTTTAAAGCAAATCCTTGACATCCTATTTTACCCTCAGATAGTTCTGTAAATTTGTTTGCAAAGCATAACCACCATCCTGTTAGCATGTCTAACATTATTAACAAATATGCCTCAATGCTGTCTCATACTCAGTATGTGTTCAGCAGAAATATTTTTAATATTTGTTTTCAATAAAACAAGGGTCAGGGAAAGCAATCTCTAATATGTGTTTCATTATTTCCATCATGTTTAAGAAGTATACAGTTAAGAAAAAGACAATCAAAATTCTAAAAATTAATAAAGGATACAAATAGACAACTTATAGAAAAGAAAATATTGATGACATATAAATACATGAAAAGGTGCTCAATCATATATGAATCAAGGAATTGTGAATTAAAATGATATGATATTTTCACCTTATTTAAAGTAGTAAAATTAACTAATAAGACTAATTAGACTAATTATAAGACTAATATCCAGTCTTGTTGAGGGTGTGGAAAAATAGGATTTTTGTGTTACTAGTGCTGGTGGGAACATAGATTGATAAAGCTACCTGAGAGACATTTTGACATTATTGATTAATGTAAAAAATGACAGTGCACATACTGCTTGCTCCAGCAATTACACCTTAAGACAGAACACCTTCACATGTACACAGGAAGGCTTGTGCAGCAAAAGAGGGCTACAGCAATGTGGCTTGTGTATAAAACTATACACAACCTAGGTGTCCATCAATGGCTAAGTAAACTATTTTCTGGTTGTATTATTAACTATGTAGCATAAATGAAACAGAGACACATTTGTATATAGTAACATGCATAGATCTCTAAGTTGCTGAATGTGTTCAGTTTAGTTTATGTTTCCTTAAAAAGTTACAAAATAATGTAATGAATACCTGTTTCCTACCACCCAGGTTAGGGAATAAAATATTACCAAAGATTTGAAGCTGAAGCTTTCTAATGGGATCCTTATCCTTCCCTTTGTCTGTCCTGTACTTTTACCCTGACCCCCATCTCTATCCCTGCCCCTGCCCCTAGGTAACAGTTGTCTTGAATGAAGCTTTTCTCTTTCTAATTTGTTCCTTCATAGAATCACAATACGTATAAAAGTATAATTTTCCAAGGATGGATACACACACACACACACACACACACACACACACACACACACACACACTAGAGGCCCGGTGCACAAAATTTTTGCATTCGGAGGGTGTCCCTCAGCCCGGCCTGCGCCCTCACGCAGTCTGGGACCCCTCACTTCTTACTGCCCACCAGCTCGCTGCTCCTTACCACTATGCTTCCTGCTTCTCCCACCACTGCCACTGGGCTTGCCAGCCATGAGCCTGGCTTCTGGCTGAGTGGCGCTCCCCCTGTGGGAGCACACTAGCCAGTAGAGGGCAGCTCCTGCATTGAGCGTCTGCCCCCTGGTGGTCAGTG